ATACATGCAGGCAATATGTGCATACACATATGTAAATCTTTTTTGAGTCATTCATGTACTCCATATCTTGATTTTGGAAATGGTTCCAATGTTGAATATGTGAATGCATGTGTGTGTGTGTGTGTGTGTGTGTGTGTGTGTACAATTTGTATATATATATACTAACCAAACTTTACCCTTTAAAAAGTTCCAGTTATTGTATCTCAAATGAGCCTCATCAAACTGGTTGGGTTTCGGGGGTGTTTGTGGCTTAATTTTGTTTTTGTTGCTGTTTGCTTTGGTTTTCATTTTGCTTTGGGTTTTTGTTTATTTTGTGTCTAGCAGTATAGAGGACTGTACAGAAGGTTGAACCGAGGGCTTGACACATGATAGGCAGTATTGTACCACTGAGCTATACCCCCAACATGTTTTTTATATATGGAAACAAGGTCTAAGTTTCACAGGCTGGTTTTGAACTCACTCTATAACCTAGGCTGGTCTCTCAAATTGCTAGGATTACAGGCCTGCATCACCAGGCCTCGCTCTCAATTGTTTTAAAGGGTGAAAGTGATTCAGAAACCATCACAGTAACACAAGTAAACAGCAGTTGGGTGACTACAGTTGAAAGTGGGGACTGAAGGGAGTGGTAAGAATTGTTATGTCCTTTGGTGGCACAGACAGGACAGTTCCTGATAGAGGCTAGCAAAAAAGAACGGAAGAAATTAGTAAACTTCTGTTCCAAAGATCTAGAGAAACACCTCAGTGACCTAAAGTTAGGGACCCCTCCCCTACAGCACACTGCCCCCCAGACAAAGTACCAAAGAGACCAGAAGAAAGGGAAAGGGTGTTTTAATGAAATGGGAGTTGAAATGGGAGTTCAACTGAATACTACAGATTGTAAAAAGGGACAAAAGCAGTCAGGCTGCAAAAAGAACAAACTAGGTACCTCAGCTGGCCCATCGTGCATGAAAAGTGCATTCTCTCCAATTTGTTATGAGGTTTGGATGCAAAAACCACACTCTACTTCCTCAGGCCCGCAGAGAAGAAATAATTGACCTCCCTCTATCACTGTTGGCTTAACTCTGAAGTCAGTTAAGAGCTGTTCTCTGTGGCCCTAAACTTAAGATGGTATTTGAGATAGGAGATGGCCGACTGCATTTATTACTGTTAAGTTTATCTTTCAATGTCTGTTAGCTCTGGCCCCAGGAAGAACAGCTAATTGTGTTTGCTGTCGTCAGCGTAGCCTTCAGGTTTGTGGCCAGTTTGGGGCCCCAGCTCTTTCCCCAAGTTGTTCTTTTGGAACAGTTTTAATTAATCAGTAACGAGCAGGTTAAGGATTTCTTACTGAAATACTAGTGTTTAAAATGGGTTTTGTTTCATTGGTTGGTTATGTTTCTGGTGTTTCAGGGCCTTGTGTATGCTAGACAAACATCCTCCCACTAGCAGTGCCCTAAGTTGATATGTTTAAAGCTGCCCCTTTCAGAATCTGCCTCCACTCCCATTTCCCTAATACCTGCAATCCCATCATATCAGTCTGAAATCTAAATAACAGCATAAGTGGTAGGGCCATTTCCTGAGTGAAGAGAACTCAGGCTTGGAGATTTGCAGAAACAGTTATCCTGGCATTGATTATGATTACAGGAATCAGAGGCAAACCAGAGATGTGTCATTGAGAGAATGAAGATGCTCACAGCTCCAAGGATGAAGGGTGCACCGAGCAAGTGGATTGGTCTCAACAGCACAACACTACTGAAAACAGTGGAACAGTGAGATGTATTTTTTAAGTTACTTAGTCCATATGAAACAAAGGTTAAAACTATACATTTCATTAGGAGGCAAGCAGGCGAAGGAATCCGTCAAACATCAAGCATGCTCCTACAGAGGAAAGGTGGACAGCAGTGAGCACGCAGCAAGAAGAAACACACGTGGCAAGATAAAGATGCTCACTGCACACTGAGTTGTTTGATGCCTCTGATCGCTGTACCTGAGATCTGAAAATATTTATAAGTGTATTAAAGGACAATAAAATTTGAAAAATGAAGTGGATAACAAGCTCAGTTTCTGCCACCTTCTAAGGAATATGCGATTTTATTTCCACTTTACCACTGCCTCAGGTGTCCTCTACGGAAGTTTTTCCTTCTGGTAATTTCTTAATTGTCATCTATTCCTATTCTATTAGTGTCTTAAATAAATGTTTATTCCAAGCCCGGGAGATGGCTCAGTGGGTAAAGGCACCTGCTGCCAACCCTCAGTTCCATTGCTGGGACCGGGGGTGAAAAGAGCAAATCAACTCAACAAATTGTCCTCTGACTTCCATATGCTCTGTAGCACGTGTGTGCACCCACTCACACTCATGCACATGTGCACACGCAATAAATTAAAATGCAAGAAGAATGAAAAGTAAATAAAACAGATGTTTTACTCCAAACACTGCATGTGCTAGTAAGGGTGTTATATAATACCCAAGCAATTTGCCATACAATTTAAGTACTAATAGAAATAATTTAGCTTCAATTTTTCAAAACTTAATTTTATCCAAGAAAAAAAAAACTGAGTCAATAACTGACCCTAACAAATAAGACCAAGGAATAAACAAAGGACTGAATTGTGAGCTATTTCTGGTTTCTTTGGTTGGTTGGTTGGTCAGTTGGTTAGTTGACTCACTTTTGTTCTGTTTTGTTTTTTCTTTTCATTTGTGGTTAGGGTTTTTTATTTTTATTTAATGTGTATGAATGTTTTACCTGCATGTATATAAGGACACCTATGTCATGCGATGCCTGTGGAGACCAGAAGAAAATGTCAGATCCCCTGGAACTAGAGTTAAGGATGCTGTTAGCCACCATGTGTGTTCTGGGAAATGAACCCGCACCCTCTGCAAGAGCAACCAGTACTCTTAACTGCTGAGTCATTTCTCCAGCCCCAAATAAGTTTTTTGGTTTTGTTTTGTATTTTGGTTTTGGGGGTTGGGGTTTTTGGTTTTTTGAGAAAGGGTCCCACTGTGTAGCCTTAGCTGGCCTGGAACTCATTATGGAGATCAGGCTGGCCTCAACTCACAAAGATCCCCCTGCCTCTGCCTCCCAAATACAGGTATTAAAGATACACACCACCGCACCCAGCCTGGTTTTTGTTTTTGTTTATTTTGTTTATTTGTTTGGGTTTTTGGTTTTGCTTTTTGCTTTTGACACAGGGTCTCCCTGTAGCCCCAGGTGCTCTGGAACTCACTAGGTAGACCAGGCTGGCCTTGAACTCACAGAGATTTGCCTGTCTCTGCCTTCTGAGTGCTGGGATTAAAGGTGTGCGCCACCATGCCCTGCTGGCTTTTGGTTTTGTGACAAGGCCTCGTGTAGTTCAAGCTGGCCTAAAACTCCCTACATAACCGAGGTTAGTCTTGAACTCCTGATCCTCTTGCCTGTACCTTCCAAATGCTGGGATTACAGGAGTGCATGACCACGCCCTCCTGGAAATGAGCTATTTCTATAGTAACAGACTTCTGGAAGACAAAGAGGTGAAAGACCACACTCAGTGCTGATGACAGGTGAGAAATCTTTACACAAAGCAAACTTCACACATCCTGCCTGCTCAGGTGAGAACAGAAAGGCCTACTGCCCTCCTTCATTTGTCTTTGAATAAATGACTGAAAGTGCACAGCCTCTAGCAGCCAAGCCATGGCTCAAGTGGAGTCACATCACTGCCTCCTCAGCCATCACATCCATACATTAGGGGCATCCCCAACCAGAAGCAAAATTCAGAGCTTGTAAGGGAAAGGGTGCACTACTTCGTTCTATGAGCCTAACATCCAAATTAAATTAGCCGTTGCCCTTTTGGGGTCAGCTACTTACTGCTCATTCAGGTGGCTTAGGGAGATTAGACTGTACTGTTCCTCTTGTCTGTAATTTATTTTATTTTATTTATTTACCTTGTCTGTACTTTATGAGCCAACAAAAACAACTAGAATAAATATTTTAAGCTAATTTATTTATTTTTATTTTGTGTGGATGAATATTTTGACTGCATGTATGTGACTGGTTGCACATGTAATGCCCAGAGAGGCCAGAAGAAGGTACCAGATCCCCTGGAACTGGAGTTAGCGGCCATGTTGGGTGTTGGGAACCCAACTGAGTTCTGTGCAAGAGCAGCTTGTTCTTAACTACTGAGTCATCGCTCCGGGCCAAATATTTTTAGTTTCTTATATTTTATTCATCAATTTACGGAATATTCACTGAATGGAAGTACTATCTTAGATTATTAAAATACAGTGGTAGAAAAATTGTAGGTCATGTTCTACAGTACGTGTGAACTGTTAAGACAAATGTGACACTCCAGCATCGTCAAAAAGACAATTGTTTACTTGAGTACTACTTCTTATATGAGCCAACTGCACCTTCTTACCTTCCGTATCCAAACTATAAGAAGTAAGAAAGTTTTGTCACTTTTGAGACATTCACGTCTAAACTAACTCGCTTCAAACACATAAACTTCTGGAAACTTTCCTCTATGAAAATGCATTACCAGATTAATAACTATCACAAAATTAATATGAAAATCACACATTTACTACATAGAAAATAAACTGTCACACACTGGCTTGTCATAACCACACTTATGCAAGCTTATTTTAAAAAAAACAGATTTAGCTAAGTGCAGGTTATGATGTGTGAAGTTCTGAGCAGCAGAAAGCCCCGCTCCATCCTCATCTGCCTTTCACAGCTCAGATTCCCATGATCTCGTAGTGAGCAGTGCTCCTTAGAATAAAATTTCATCCACAGAGAGCCACTGTTATGACAAAATGTACCATCAAGGGGAAGCACCATTAAGTCAACGTTATGTGTGTATCATATCAGTACCCAGGCAGGTCCTCCAGGACATCACCAATACTATGTCCTTGCACAGATGTCTTCAGATTAGTTCAGAATATAGTGCAGAAATATAACAGAAAAAGTATTAATTTTCAATGTCTTACTTTATTTTTATTTTTAATTGATACATAATAATTGTATACAATTATGGGGTACAATGTGATGATAGTGCAATACAGGTAAAACATGTAATGATCTAATGGGGGTCATCAGCATATCCATCATCTTGGGCACTTGGGAACATTCACAGTTCTCTTGTCTAGCTATTTTGAAATCCACAATAAACCATCAGCCATGGGATAATTATTGATTGTTCTTGTCACCCTACTGAGCTACAAAGCACTAGAAATCACTACTCAATCTAACCATCCCCTCGCTCTCCTAGACTCTAGTAACCACTATTATGTGCCCCCACCACAGCATATTTCTGCACAGAGTTGCCTAGGTCTGCACTTTAAATTGCAAACATAATACTGAAATAGTCTCAGTGAAAACCCAGCGGGAAAGTGTGCATTCTCAGAGAACGTGCTAATCTTCTATCTAGGGCCACATCAGAGCAGATTTGGCATTTGTTAAAAACACACTCATGGCTGACCAAATATCCCAGAAGCCAGTTTCCTCTTTTGAAGGTTCCTATGACAGATCTGAGGCTCAGGACATAGCGGTATTCATCAGCTTATGACCTTCTTACAGATCCACTGCAAAGGAACTTCACAGCTAGAGGCTTGAAGTCCGCTTTTGTTGATGGCACCACACTTCTGGACCAAACTGTTGGAATTAATCCTGAAAGAAACCAGAGAAGTCAGTTGCTTACAGTAGTATGCACAGTAAAAGACATTATAGAAAAAGTTGGCTCTGTCTCCTGTTCCAATCCCTAAGGTCCCCAAACAGCTTAAGAATAAAAATTGTTCATTAGGGGGCTGGAGAGATGCCTCAGTAGTTAAGAACTCTTGTTCTTCCAGAGGATCTGGGTTCAAATCCCAGCACCCACATGGTGGCTAACAATCGTCTGTAATTCCAGTTTCAGGGAATCTAACACCCTGACCTCTGTGGGCATTGCATAACATGGGTGCACTTACATACATGCAGGCAATACACTCTTACACATAAAATTAAAATAATAAATATTTTTAAATTGCTCATTAGCCTCTAAAATGCCATCACTTCTGTCCTTTCTGTCACCACTGTGCATCCCATTCCTTGTTCCCCGTTGTCTCTCCCTTTTGCCCTCTCTCTCCTCTCTGTTTTTCGTGTTTCCTGAGCCTCCATTTTTTCCTTCCTTTTTTCTCTTCTTTTTTTGTTTGTTTTACCCTTGTGCCTTCAAAACTTTACCTTGAGTTTAGAACTGATCCATCTTCCCACTTCCAACCAGAATTATTCCTCAGACCAATCCAGTGAAATTCCTGGTTTAGGGAGTCTTGAAATAGGTACTGAGGAAGAAATTAAAGATGATGATAAAAATAACAAAAATCAGAAAATGAGAGACCTCGTGAAGAGATCAAATAATTATCCTTATATCACGGGTAGAGGACCGGGTATTTGTATGTACCCAAAATTCATGCTGAAACCCCATCCCCAATTTGATAGTATCTAAAGGTAGATCCTTTAGAGATAATCAGGCTTACATGAAGTCATTAGGACAGAGCCCTGTGATAGGATTCCTGTCCTTATAATAAGAAAAGACAAGACAGAGCTCGAGCTCTCTCTCAAGTGAAGACACCAGGGAGAGGCACCATGCATTGTATGAGATGCAAGGAGCCCTCATCAGGAACTAAAGCTTCTGGGACTCTGACTTGGATGTCCCAGCCTCTAGAACTGTGAGACAAATGTCTGTGAAGACCTCCACCCTATGCTATTTTATTATAATGATCTGAGCTGAGACAAACAAGCACTCCAAATCCTTCGTGTGGACTCTAATTCCAGTACAGTTCTGATCTCTAATTCTAACAGAGATCTGTCTGTTGCAAGAAGGAGCAGCTTCCCAGAATTGACCTTTGGTTTATAAGCACATGCTCATAATACGACAGATAAGATAGTTTTGCATCTCCCCCTTGCATCACAGCTTCCTTTCTGATTAGATGGAGCACCAGATAGGTATTCAAAAGAAAGCTGAACAGTGCTGCTTTCTTCCTCATCCGATACACAAATTATGATTAACCTCATGGCAATTTGCTTGTATTTCCCCTCATCCACTTTACGCTCATGTTCCAAGTCTTCATCGAACTTGTACACAGGAGGGAAAATTCTTAAGACAGTAAGCTTCACGGTAGTTAAACTAATTACAGCCATATGTGTGTTGTGCTACCCAGGGAAGCAAAGATAAGGGATGCTTTGCTCTACACCGTTTTGCAATTGAATGAAGACGTTTATACACTAAGGAAATTGCCCTGCATGTTAAACAAAATAAAGGATAAATCCACCTTTATAGGTTGGTATTAGCATAATGAAGAATTGAGCTTTTAATATTTTCTGACAGCTTAATTAGTTGAATTTGGATTGAATTACTTAAACAAGTTCATTTTGTAAATTTTAGGTTAGCATTAACTGAATGATTTCTTTGGGAGAAAACTGTCTTTCATTCAGAATTAAGAAAGTCCAGTAAAATTTCAACTCCTATTATGATGCCACTAAATGTCCTATTTTGCTGTCATTTTTTTTATTCTATTCCTGGAAGATGGTGACTGAAGAGAAAGAAATTAGGAGCTGGTTAATTGCCTTCCTTTACCTGATCACACCTATAACCACCAAGAACAAAGAGCTTATGCCTTAAGGTAAAGTGAAAATCAACTCTCCTGCCCTCGCAGGAAAGGCAGGCATTAGATGAGCCTACTGTGCCGTTTCCTACCATCAGGACAAGCTCTATGTTCTCTTCATTGGATTTCAGTTTTAAAAATCTAAAATCTATACTATAAATACAAAGCCTGGCACAATCCAGGCCCTGGCAACCATTTACTAAGTTCCAGCCCCATGAACTTTCTGTGCCTTTACCAGGCCAAGAACATTTTTACATTAGGATCTTTGCATGGCTTTTACTTCTTTCTATAATGGCCTCTAGATTTCCACATGGCTGTCATCACTCAGAAGGCTGAGTCCAGAGAGTCCTGAGTTTGAGACCAGCCTGGATTATACAGCCCCTGACTCTCACTTCCTTTTTTTAACATCAAGGAGTAAACATTAAAGATTCTTTTATTTTTATTTTATGTATATGAGTATTCTGTCTGCATGTATGTAAGTGTGCCATAGGCATGCCTGGTACCTGCAGAGGCTAGAGGAGGGCATCAGATACACTGGAACTGGAGTTAAGACAGTTGTGAGCTCCCATGTTGGTGCTGGAAACCCAATCCAAATCCTCTACAAGAGCAACAAGTGCTCTTAACTGCTGAGTCATCTCTCCAGTCCCTGTCTCTCAATTCTCTAAAATATTTTATTATTTTTATTTTATTTTATGTGTATGAATGTATTGCCTGTGTGCATGTAAATGTACCTGTGTACAAGGCCCATGGAAGTCAGAAGAGAGCATCAGATCCCCTGGAACTTGAGTTAAAGACAGTTGTTCTAGGAATCAAACCCCGATCCTCTGTAAGAGCAGCCAGTGCTCCTAACCACCGAGCCATCTCTCCAGTCCCAAATTCTTAATAAACTATTCTCTGTGACTTGATTCTACCTGCCCCCCCCCACAAATTAAAACAAACAGCAATATTATTTTTTAAAGGCAGCAAGAAATGAGCACTAAAAACCGGACTACAATTTCTTATTTTCTTTATATACATGAATTATAATTGAATCTGACCAAGTTTTGTGCCAGGGTGTCAATTCTTCATGTTGCTTATCATCCTTCGGGACTAACAGATTTCTCAGAGACTTGGCTAACAGAAAGGATTTGAGAGGCCCACAGCATATGGAACTCCAACAGTTTCCCTTCCTTATAACCCAACTTTCTGGACATTTTTTCCTCAATCTAGAAGTCATTGAATTCCAACAAACAAAAGGAAAACATTTTTAAAAAGACATTTAATTCCTGTGCATGGCCTTTTCGTCCCTGTGGTCGCTCTTCTCCGTTTCTCTCCCAAGTCCCACTGGCTCTTGTATAGAAGTCACTGCCTCCTTGTTGGGCCTGTGTGTTTCTACACCTAATGCCTTTTATTATTTTTATTTATTTATTATTTTTATTTTATGTGTGTGAATGTTACTCCTGCATGTACGTAAGTGCACCCATGTCATGCAATGCCCACGGAGGACAGAAGAGGCTGTCACTGAGCCATCTCTCCAACCCCTAAACCTAATGCCTTTTAATTAGATCTGTAACTTTAGGTTTAATTCCTCTCAGCAATACATTCCACCTCCTCACCTCCAACACACACACACACACACACACACACACACATATGCACACATACATACACATGCATACACATTACCCATACCTACACACACACACACACACACACACACACACACACACACACACCAGAGAGAGAGAGAAGGTATAATGGCATATGCTGGAGACTGAGGCTGCACGGTCTGAGTTCAAAGTCAGCCTGGACTACATAATAAACCCTCATCTAAAAGAAAGGGAGGAAGGAATGGAGGGAGAAAGAGGAGAAGGAAGGAAAATAACTATTTTCTAAGTATTTTTATTTACCATTTCCTGGCTGTCCTTCAACATAAGGAGATCTGAGTCTTTGTCTGTGCAGAATTCCAGACTAGAATTCCAGTTCTTTTTCTTCACTGAGAAATAATAACAATTGCTACCATTTCTCAGCCAGAGGTTTGGGCAGCTGAGACAGCGGTCACAAGTGGAGTCCTTGGAGCCTAGAAAGAAAGAGGATGCATGGTTCACATCTCTATTAAGGAAATAGTCCTGACATGGAAAGGAAGGTATAAGGAAATACAGCATCTCCAGGGTCTTCCCTGCCCTACCACGTTTCAGATTAAGATTTAAAGAAATGCATAACAATACACGGCCTCAAACTGAGCCCTCCACAATGTTCAACTTCACTATTAACGTACTTGTCCTAGTTTGTTCTTCATTGCTCTGACAAAACACTCTGACCACTACCAACTTGGGGAGGAAAGAGTTTATCTTAAATCTCCCAGGTCGCAGTTCATCAGGGAGCCCAAGGCAGGAACTCAGGGCAGGAACCTGGAGGCAGGAGCTGGAGCACAGGCCATGGAGGAATGCTGCTTACTGGCTTGCTCCCCTGACCCCTGCTCAGCCTGCTTTCCTATGCAACACAGGCCTACCTGCCCTGGGGTGGCACCACCCACAGTGGGCTGGGCCCTCCCACGTCACTCATCAAGAACATGCGCCTCAGACATGGCCACAGGCCAGTAAAATAGAGGAAATTCCCCAATTGAGGCTCCCTCAGCCCAGGTGTGTCAAGTTGACACTAAAGCTATCCAGCACAGTACACCACTAAGCAAGCATGTGGCTCTGACCAAATATCTAATCTGCCTAAAGGCTGTAGACAGTACTTTACACTAAAACTCCTCTATATACATGTAATGTTACAGGCTAGATAAAATCAGCATGCACTTAAATAATGCATATGTATCATTCCCTGCACGTGTTCAGTCTATTCACTGCTATTACAAGGGAGAAACAGGAAGTCCAGCCTCAATATGGCACCCATAATGGGGTATAAGAAAAGGAAAGAAATGATAAAGAACCCACAACTGTTTTATCATCATAGATTGATTGTCTATAACCAATAGAAATTGGGGGGGGGATCCTTATACTCAGAAACAGTGATTTACCTAAATTTAAAATGTTTTGTAACATAAAATAACACCAGAATGCTAAAATTAAAAGCGATCAAATTCTTACTAGGTTCTTAGAAATACAGACCACCCCCAGGTTTTGAAAATAGTCCAATTATAGTTCTGTCAAAATGAGAGGAAACTAAGTAAACTTCAAAGGTGATTTCAAATAAGATTCCATTATTCTATTGATTTTTCTACTTTGGAATATATTTGCATAAAATCACCATGAGCAATTCTGCCAGATGGGCACCTAGAGACATACAACCGCAGTATGACTGCATGATCTAAGTTGGGGATTTAAAAGTAGGGAATGCTTTCCTTTCCATGAAAAGATTGGGCAACTTCCTGTGGGAAGGGTGCATGGTATGAAGATGGGGGTCTTGGGCCTGAGGTGTTCACCTGGCATTTAGGGATTTGAGCCTTTTTCAGACAACTGGTGCCTGCATCAGAAAGTGCAACTGCCCTGGGCGTGTCTCTCTGTCAAAAGTAGGACTCAGGGGCTTGAGAGGTGGCTCAGCAGTTAAGAGCACTGGCTGCTTTTGCAGAGAACCTGGGTTCAAGTCCCAGCACTCACAATCATCCATAACTCCAGTTCTAAGGATCCATCAACCTCTCTGGCTTCCACAGGCATTGCACACATGTGGTACACACTTGCATAAATCCACAAAGGCAAAACACCCATACATATAAAATAAAAATAAATCTTTCTTTTTAAAAAAAGTAGTTCTCAGCCAGGTGTGGAGGGGCACACCTTTAGTCCCAGCACTCAGGAGGCAGAGGCAGGCAAATCTCTGAGAGCTCAAGGCCAACCTGGTCTACATAGTGAGTTCCAGGCCAGCTAGGACTACAGGGAGACCCTGTCTCAAAAAGACCCCCACCCCACCCCCAAAAAAAGCAGTTCTCGAGTATGAGGTGAAGATGCTAGAGTAAATTCTGTAAAACTCGTGTCACTAACAATCATCTCTCATAGCATAAACCTGAATTAAAACTCCACTTGTGAAACAATCAACGGAGCCCTCAGGGTCATCAGATTTAAGGACCTAGAAGAACTAAACCTACAGAAGATAGTTTTAGAATATTTGAAAGTGCCCATAGTTCCCAAAAACTCAGTGATAATTACTAATGCTATATCTATTGATATCTGTCATGTGGAAGATTAAATGCCACCAATATTATATAGTTTAATGACTATGATAAATACATTAGTAGGAAAATTGTGGCACAATATGAAAATTAAAAACAATATGCAAAATCATAAGTAACCTATGATTGGAACTATTTTGTATTGTTTTGGGAAAAAAAAGTGGGAGAGCTTTTAAGAGGATTTTATCATAATTCTGGTAAGAAAGTAAGTGCACAAACACACGTGATCAAAAATGGAGGATTTGAACTAGGAGACATGTACAGAGGTGGCAATTAATTTTGTTAGAATTATTTTTCATTTTTCAAACTTCCTCTTACAGTGTTTCATAGCATAAAATGAAACGTGTGTTTTGGGTTATGTCAGCACTTACCATAGCACAGAATCTGTTGGTAGACCAGGATACTCAGAAGAATCACAGTCACAAGCCCCAAAGCCACAGCCATGAGGCAAGGAAGAGAGCGCCGTCGGGAAAACACAGCTGCAGAAACAAAGAATCAAATCCCAGTCAGAAAGAGACGTGCAGGGGAGAATATCTGGTTTCTTGAAGCAATTCTGGCTAGAGGGATGGAGAACTCCCACAAGGATCCCCTCCCTGGACCAGGAACTTGGTCTGAAATCAAGTTAAAGAAAACTTTTACCTTTGAAATTGTGGCTTACATGTTGATGGTGAGTTTGTAAACTGTTTCAGCCTTGTTGGAGTCAGAGGACAATTTGGCATTATTTACCAGGATTGCAAAAGTATTAGCCCTGCAGCCCTGAAATTTCTCCTTGAGAAATTTTTTTTCTACAGATATTCACATATGTGTAAAATGTCATATTTTTAAAGTTGATCATGGAAGCCATGTTTGTAGGAAGGAGAGATGGAATGCAACCTAAATGCCTATCAGTAAAAGACCAACAAAATATACTTCAACATATCCAGAAAGCATGCAGCTTCTGAAAATGGGTTTTTTTTAAACTGGTATGAAGTGATTTCCAAGACACATAGTTAATAGAAAGAGCCATCCCTCAAAACAAAGCACACTAATTTCTCTGGCAGTCTACCCAGGATCATTTCTCAGTCTCTTAGCTAAGATCAAGTGTGGAAGTCTATCCAAGCATCCGATAGTATTTACCTCTGGGAAGAGGAAAAGGGTTGTTAGGGGCATAGACCAGAGACTTAGTTATTAGCTTGAATTCTTTTGTACCTTTTGAATTTGAACCATGTGAATGTGCTATGTACTCAAATTTTAAATAAATAAAATTTAAATAAAAATAAAATAGCCTGCATCCCGAAGTAGATGATGATAAAAATTCATCTTACTTTGCAAGTCACTATTGGAAATGTGATGTGTTAAGGTTGATATTGTGTTTAAGGATGGAGCATAATTTCATGTTAACTATGAGGCATACAACCTCTCTCTAAGAATGCTATATTTTTAACTTGGAAAATGGAGAATTTTTTCAAAATTTTTATTTTAAAATCATAAGTTTCTTGTAGCCTGATGGTTTGGAGATTATGTGCAAAGAGAAGGAAAAAAATGTAAAAACATTCAAGCTTCAATCTCGATTCTTTTGGTAATCTTTAATTAGAATATTTATACGTAAGTTGGGTTCAAGGTCATCCTTGGCTATATGGCAAGTTTGAGGCCAGCTTGGGCTATCTCAAAAAAAAAAAAAAAAAAACAGTAAAGAAAAGAAAAGAAAAAAATTTAATTTTCCTATTTCAGTCTCATGTTTCTGTTCAGTTTTTAGATACATTAATCTGCATTCATGTTTACATAGATCTACAAAGAAGTCTCAATTTGTTAAAGGAAATTATAGTAAGGATGCCTTCATACAAAGAGAATTCAGTATGATAAATATTTTGATTCATGAATCCAAAAACTACTAGCATTATAGTGATATATACATATTTATACCACAGAAGAGTTAAGTTTAGTGAAATAAACGTTCATTCTGGGTGTTGCACTACATGAAAAATGGTATCAAATTATTATTGGATTTGTTCAGCCACCATCTCCAACTGAAGAAAGTAACTAAGCCGGGTGTGGTGGCGCATGGCTGTAATCCCAGTAATCAGGAAGCAGAGGAAGGCAGATCTCTGTGAGTTTAACATCACTCTGGTCTACATAGTGAGTTCCAGGCTAGCTGGGGCTACAAGGAGACCCTGTCTCAAAAAAATAACAAAAAAGAAAGTAACTAAAACAAAAAAAATTTCATTATATATATATATATATATATCCCAACTAACAACTATTAGGTTCCAGTTTACCACACATAGTGTCATCTTAAACTTATATTTCAGAGCTGGGGAAATGGCTCAGCAGTTAAGAGCACTGGCTGCTCTTCCAGAGGACCCAGGTTCAGTTCCCAGGACCCGCATGATGGCTAACACCTGTCCATAAGTGCAATTTCCAGGAGATCCCATGCATTCTTCTGTGGATACAAGGTACCCACGTGGTACGCTTATATACATAGTTTAATAACTGTTTATATTTTCTTCATTTCATAGTTAAAGATGGCAGTTTAAACAGACCAACTGAGCATGGTGGTGCAGTCCTTTAATCCCAGCACTCTGGAGGCAAAGGCAGGTGAATCTCTGTGAGATCAAAGCCAGCTTGGTCTACAGGGAGACTATGTCACAAAATAATAAATAAATAAATAAAAATACATAAATACATAAATAAATAAATAAATAATAAACAAATAGTTCAACTAAAGTTACCTCAAGCCTGACTACAAATAAAATTGTCTCAAAAAATCTCTTGCTTTAGTTCAGGAGTGATAAACAGGAAAGTGATTGTATACGTGTACAGTCTCATGAATAAAGGAAAGTGTTTTCAAAAAGAAAAGAATATTGCCTCTGAACACATTAGCTGGGCTCACAGAAGTGTCTAGGGGAAAAACTTATCTGAGATATGGGATGGCATACTGTGCCATAAACCAAATGCCCATATTCCAGCCCAGCACTGCAAACTTGAGTCCAAAGCAGTTCTTCAAGTCAGCCTCAATGGTCCGTACCCTCTACAGGAAGGACTCGCCTCTCCATTCATCCTTCAGATCCCGTCATACCACAATTTTCTGTGCTGACCTGCTTAGCTCACCTTTTGGCTGTGGTCTGCAGTCCTCCCGGCCTTGAGAAGTGGCAGGAAACTCTAACGTGCAGTAAATCGTGCTATCAGCCATCTCCAAACACCTTTCACATTCAGTTGAGAGAGTTAAGTTAGAAGTGTGAGACGATAAGTGACAGTGAGGAAACAGCCCATTCTCTAAACAAGTAGCAGGAAACCTGACAAAAACAAATAATTTTTCAGGAAATGATTCAAATTCTAGGGCTGCCTACAGAAATTAATATTCAAAGTTGCATTTTAAAGACTGACTGCGCCACACTCCCTAGACACTCCTTAGACCCATATCATTTCCAATCTCATCTCACTCTACTGGGAAATGGTTCTCCAGCCTAGAAATTTTTCAAGGACTTGTTTGTTCTTATTTTACTTTATCTGTATGAGTACTTTGCCTGCATATAGGTAAATCATGGGTGTGCCTGGTACCTGCAGAGGCCAGAAGAGGGCAACGGATCCTCCCGTGGATCTGGAGTTACAGATGGTTGTAAGCCACCATGTAGGTGCTAAGAACCAAACCTGGGTCTCTGCAAGTGCAGTAAGTGCTCTTAACCACTGAACTCTCCATCCCCTCAAGCCAAGCAATTATTAGAAGTGTGCTAGACTAAAAGTAAGAGCAGCTCCTAGCACTTATCACAGATTCTTTTTTTCTTCTTTGTTCCTTCTGAGAAAAGAAACATCTTTCAAAAGGAGCTAATTCCCACATTCCGTAGCCCTTCGAAATGCTAGTGAGATGGACCACTGGCTGCATCGGGGACACAGACTATTGCCCAAATACATCTTTTGAGTATGACATGACACTGTCTTCCCCAGAACAGTCTTTCGGCTGCCCCTCCTTTTTATTCTTCACAGTGCCAGAAATTCCATTACTTTTACTCATGGTGTTATTTCATGATGCATAGGTAACTACAAAGAGAAACAAATGCAGACTAAGGTTTTAGCAATTTATTTCTAGTAGGGAACACACTACTAAAAATTAAAGTAAGCAAAACACAAAAGGACTTGAAACACTTAAGCATGGAGAAGATCACTGGGTTAGAGTTGATAAAGACAGAAGTGAGGAAAGAGGAGTTAAAATGAATAGAACTGCTTTAAGCTTTGACAGAGTGGTGCTGGACTTGCCCTCCAACCAAGAAAATTCCTACATACAAGTACATACAAGCAATGTTGTGGTCTTTGAGAGAGGAGAAACACAAAGGTAAATACACTTGATCATCCTGGCTTTCCACCTAGGGCCAGAGAATGAAAAGTAGTCCTAAACAGAACACCAGTCTCACTCACTAAGCTGAAGAGACAGAATAGTATTTTGTGATGCTGACGTGGCTGGAGTTTGCTGGGCTGGGTAACTGGTGAGAGCTACATAGAGAGAGGTACCCAGGAGACTGCATAGGAATTCACCACAAGTCTGTGGCTAAGAACTCAGCATCTAGTCAATTGCATTGCCAAGAGCTGAATATTGGAACAGAAACGGATGATGTATTGCTTACTAGTAGCGCGCGCTCATGCGCGCGCGCGCGCACAGACACACACACACACACACACACACACACACACACACACAGGGTCCATCACAGATTCAGTCACAGGCATGAGGACAAATATTGACATCCATAAAAGGAAGGCAATATAAAATGTAGTCCATTCTTGTAGTGGAAGATTATTCAAGTTTTAAAGGAAAGAAATTCCATCAATGTGCTACCACAGCTGTAGTGATATATACCTATAACCCCAGCACTGGGAAGGCTGAGACAGGAGGACCATGAGTTCAAGGCCAGCCTGGCTACATAGTAAGTTTGTGTGTGCTTTTGTTGTTGCTATGACCAAACACCTGACAAGAAGCAACTTGAGGGAGGAAGGGTTTCTTTTGGTTCAGAGTTGAAGGAGATACAGTCCATCATGGTGGGAGGGTATGGTGACAGGAAGGAAGTACAATCCACAAGTGACAGGAGCTTGAAGCAGCTGGTCACAAACAGATCTGCAGTCAGGATGCAGACAGAGATGGATGCTGGTGCTAGGCTCACTTTTTCCTTTTTATTCGATCTAGGGCCCCATGTCATCAGTGGTGCTGTCCACATTTAGGTAGGTCTACCCACCTCAGTTAACTCAACTTAGAAACTCCTTCATAGATACTCCTACAGGTTTGGCTCAGGGGCTTCTAGATCCAGTCAAGCTGACAGTCAGTATTAACCATCACAAATCCACCCTTTCTCAACTTGACACTCAAACACACCACTTGAAGCCATAGTCCAGAGAAAAACTGGTGAGTAGAAAGGAACTTATAAGTGATAGAAACTGGAATTAGCAAATAAGAACTTAATAATTAACAAATATGTTCAAACATAAAAAGTAGGGCCAAAATGAATTTAAAAACTGAAGAACTTATCAGAGAAACAGAAACTACAAAAAAGAATCAAGTGAATATTCTGGAACAATATTCATAATTTTAAAAAATTTCTGGGTGTGGTGGTGCAGGCTTTTAGTCCCAACACTTGTGAGGCAGAAGCAGGAGGATCTCTGTGAGTTCAAGGCCAGCCTGGTCTACATAGTGAGTTCTAGGCCAATTAGGGCTACAGGGATACCCTGTCTCAAAAAGGCCAAAAAAATTAAAAGTAACTGAATAAGGGGCTGAAGAGATGACTCAGCAGCTCTGCAAGCTGCTCTTGCAGAGGATCCAGGTTCAATTCCCAGCACCCACATGGTGGGTAACAACTCTCTATATCTCCAGTTCCAGGACTTCTTCTTCTGGCCTCCCTGGGCTTTCATGCATATATGGTGCACTTATATACATGCAGGCAAAACACTCATACACATAAAATGAAAATAAATCAGATAAAATAATTTTTAAATAATTGACTAAGGCTATTAGCAAGTTGGAATGTTAAAAGGAAAAGGTCAGTGAATATGAAGATAGTTACAAATTACTCAAACAAGAAAATGAGGGGGTGGAAACAGAATCTCAATAACCTGCAGGATAATACCAAATAAAATGGAGTAAAATTGAGAGGTTGGGGAGATAGCTCAGGAAGTATTTGCCACACAAGTTTGAGGACTGGAGTCAGATCCTTAACACACACATTAAAAATCCAGTCATGGCAGCTGCACTTGTAATCCCTGTACTGGGGAAGTAAAGATAGGGAAAGGAGAAGGAGGAGGATGAGGAGGAACAGGAGGAGGAACAGGAGAAGGAGGAAGGCGAGGAGGAGGAGGGGGAGGAGGGGGAAGAGGGGGAAGAGGTGGAGGAAGAGGAGGGGGAGGAGGAGGAAGAAGAGGAGGAGGAGGGGGGAGGAGGACAGGGGAGAAGAAGGAGGAGGAAAAGGAGGAGGGGGGAGGAGGAGGACAGGGGAGAAGAAGGAGGAGGAAAAGGAGGAGGAGGAGGAGGAGGAACAGGAGGAGGAAGAGGAGAAGGAGGAAGGCGAGAAGGAGGAGGGGGAGGAGGGGGAAGAGGAGGAAGAGGTGGAGGAGGAGGAGGGGGAGGAGGAGGAAGAAGAGGAGGAGGGGGGGAGGAGGACAGGGGAGAAGAGGAGGAGGAAAAGGAGGAGGAGGAGGAGGAGGAGGAGCTCTGTATTGTGGTATATGCCTGTAATCCCAGAATTCGGGAGGCAGATGCAGGAGGCTCATCATAAGCTCAAGGTCAGCCTGGGTTACACAGCAAGACCTCCTCCAAAAAGAAGAAAGATTTGAGATACACAGTCATACTTTAAGGAAGCAGAAAAAGAACAAAGCCCAATGTTAGCAGAAGGAAGGAAATGATAAAATCAGAGTGGAAATAAATAGGAAAAAAAATGAAAAGAAGTTGTTCCAAACGATAAACAAAATCAACAAATCTCTAGATGGTTTAAGGAAAAAAACAAGGCTCAAGTGGCTGAAATCAGTTTGGGGTAATATGGCTGTTTTAACAGGACTAACTCTGCTGATCTATAAACATGGGGTATCTTTTCTATCTTCTAGTGGCTTTTATAATTTCCCTCTTTGGTACAGTATAGTTTTCCCCTATTTATGCCTAGGGTTATTAGTTTATTTGTTTGTTGTTGGATTTTTTTTAATTACTGTGAATATAATTTTTTCCTGGTATCTTTTTCAGATAATTCATTGTTGGTGTATAGAAAAGCTGATTTTTATTTTTATTTTATTTTTGGGTTTGTTTCATTTTGGTCTTTTTGAGACAGGATCTGGAACTCACAGTGTAGACCATGTTGGCCTCTATCTCAAGGCAATCCTCCTGCCTCTGCCTTTGAAGTGCTGGGATTAAAGGTGTGGGCCACCGCGCCCAATACAGAAAAGCTGATTTTCAAAATCAGAAATGAAAGAGAAGACATGCAAAAAAATGAACTCAGAATCTGCCAAAGGCCTTGACACAAGACATGAAACTTTGAAACTACAAAAAGAAAAAAAGAGAAAAACTTCAAGATATTGGCACAGGCAAGAATTTTCTAAATGGGATTCCAATAGCTCAGAAAACAAAGGCAAGAATTGACCAATGGGATTATATCAAGTTAAAAAGTGTCTATACATCAAAGGAAGCAATAAAGAGACAGTCTACAAGATAGGAGAAAATCTTTGCCAGGTACTCCTCCGAAAGAGGATTGATAGACTATACAACTTTAAAAAAAGGCGGGCGTGGTGGCATACACCTTTAATACCAGCACCCTGGAGCCAGAGGCAGGTGAATCTCTGCTCTGTGAGTTCAAGGCCACCCTGGTCTACATAGTGAGTCCCAGGTGTGAACACTACCACTGCCACGGAGATACCTGCTCTGCTGCCTGAGGCCTCAGAGCCCTCAGCAGCACACACTCCTACCAGTAGCAACCCCCATTCCCACCATGACATCCCCCCTGTTCACCGGGGACCACCCATAGAACCTTGTAAGCTTTCTTGGGTCTGCATTGAGAATCTTCTAACTCCTGTTTGCTCCTGTGCTCAGATGCTGCACCCAGCCCTGATTGAGCTAGGACTACTCTGGTACTCCATTCTCATATCAACACTTGAATCACTCCAAGACTGAACCTCAAGTACCATTCAGCTGGTCCAAAACCTGATGAATTAGGGTAACAGCAAACAGAGATTCAAATGTCCACTCAACAAAGGTGACACAGATACCCACACCAAAAACGTTACCAACAACCTAACTCCAGATGCCGAGGCACCAACGAGAAAAACATAAACAACACAAACAATTAAGACAATATGTCACCTCCAAGAATGAGTCCTCTTAGAGTAATGTTCCTTGAAAAAAGAAACTTGGACAACACACAAAACAATGATTTCAAAATGGCAATTATAAATATGTTCAAGGAACTCAAAGATATGAATAAATGCCAGAACTGAGATCATGAAAACACAGAGAGCTGAATGAAATAAGGAAAACAATTCAAGGTGTGAAAGTAGAATTTAATAAACACATAGAAGAAAACCCAAACCCAAATAAAACTCAAAAGGAAAAATTTAGTAAGTCAGATTAAAAGTTCAATCAAAAGAAGAGATTCAAATATCCAAAAGTACATGAAAGAAAAGTTCCAACATCTTGAGACATTAGGAAAACTCAGTCAAAACTGCACTGAGGTTCATCACACCTCATTAGAATGGATATCAAAAGAATGAGAAAATAAACGCAAGGATGTGAAGGGAAATGTACTCGTGATGCTGGTGAAGGTGTGAATTAGTACAGACACTGTGAAAAATTCTACAGTATTCCCCAAAGAGCTACAAATAGAATTGTAATATTACCCAACTAGACTACTTCTGAGAATATGTCCAAAGGAAATCAAGTCACCGAGCAAGAGACATCTGCATACCCGTATTTATTGCAGTACTGTTCACAACAGCTAAGGAAATCAGCCTAGACACCTATCAACGGACAAATGGATTTAAAAAGTGTCAGTCAGAGGCCATTGTTATGACAGAAAAAAAAAAAAACAGCTTAAATAAGGAAAGCTTTATTTGAGCTCAGACCTTCAGTTTCAGTGGATGGACACAGGGATTCATTGATTCTAGGCCTGTGGTGAGGTGGAACACCTCGGCAGAAGGGCATGATGGTGCCCATCTCATATCACTCAGGAATCAGAAAGTGACAGAAAAGGGCTGAGGGAAAAATACCCTTCCAAGGTATACCCTCCAATGACCCTCCTACTTCCTCTAACTAAGTCCTGTTAGGTTTGTCCTCTGACCTCAGTGCATACATTGTCACATACACACACACACACACACACACACACACACACACATACACACACTAGATCCCTGTAATAAATTTCTTACCTGAAAGGACAAGCCACCTCAGTGTCTCTGTTGAACCCTGAGTTCTAAGAACATGCATAATGGTGCTGAAGCCTAGGAGGGGGCGCCACTGAAATGGATTGCCTTTGGGGGACCCTTACACCTTTGCCATTCGTTCTCCACACCCACACTGACCTCTGCTCTCATCTGATGTGGTTCTCAGATTGTCAGAACATCTGTCATCTCTGGACTGGGCAGAACTTAGAGCTGAGTCAAATGCCTCTCCAAGGGCAGGGTGGGACCCATTGCCCTAAACCAGCTGAGTTTAAGGATGTTTAATCTTCTTGCCCGGTTTACCGGTTGTGATCCAGGCCATATTCAGGATGAAATCGGGGAGTATGAGAATGCTTGCTCATTACTCCTCTGCCTACTTGACCACCAGGCTTCACGGCAGTGTCTCAAAATAATAACACTTAAGACAACTTTATACAGCACAACAGCAAGTGGTCAGGGGCTTTCTATGCATCACCTTCCCAGTCTGCTTCTCTAACGGGCTCTGTCCAGCACTTACAGTCTCCCTCCTTTCACAGACACAAAGGGAAGCCAAATTCTTCTCCACCCGGCTTCTTTCTCCACTTGCTTCCACCTCCTTGTCAGGGCTCAGTCCTTTCCTCTCTGTAGGAAAAACAAGCCAGATGGCTGGGAGACAACTAGCTGCAAGCAACTTTCTCTGTGGGAGATAGCAGGGCTGCTGCATAGAACAACTTTCTTCCTTCCCAGCCAGGCTCCCAGCTCGGATCAGATAAGAGCTCCAGCTTCCCCTGATTGGCCACACTCAGAGTCGTCCATCTCTGACCGCCCCTCGGTTCTAATACAGTCGTGACTCATCGCTACTTTCTTTCCTTCCAAGAGTTTCTCTATTAATAAAATAAAATAAAACCCTCCCTATGTCTGTTTCCCACTTTTTCTTTTTATCTTTTTAAAATTTTATCATTTCTATTTTCTGTGTATGAGTGTATTGCCTGCATGTATGTGAGTGCACCCGTGTCGTGTAAGGCCGCGGAGGTCAGAAGAGGGCTTCGGATTCCCCCTAGAATAGGAATTAAGGGCGGTTCGTAGCCGCCATCTGGATGCTGGGAATCAAACCCGGGTCTTCTTCAAGAGCAGTCAGTGCTCTTAACCGCTGAGCCATCTCTCCAGCTCCGTTTCCCGCTTTTACCTGGCCCAGCTTTGCTAACCCTCCTTCTTCCTTGCACCCACCCCACCCAGGCCTACCTTCAGCTGCGCTCTAGCCGCTGCTTCTGTGTCTGGGGAAATTCACCATGTCTCCACCAGAAGATTCCCCCTCCAGGCCAGAAGAAGAAACGCAAATTGCCAACTTCTCAGCTTCTCGAAAAAGCTCAGTCCTTCCCCATCCCCCTCACAGCTGATTTGTGTCCAATCTCAACCTGGGATCATTGTCTAGACTGATCAGTCTTGACCTACCAGATGAATTCAGCTCCAGGTTTAACACCTGGGAGTCAGATTATGATCCCTCATGGGTCTCTCACTCCCTAGAGCCTACCCAGACTCATCCCTGAGTTGTATCTGAAAGCTGATGGATACTCAATTTACAGACTCCGAAGCTGCCTTTTTAGCCTCAGAACCGCTTTCAGCCATGCCCTCAACCTTCCTTAACTTAGCCATCTCTCTCTCCTCCTCTCCTCTCTGTAATTTCTTTTACTCTCCTCCCCCAGCCTGGAAGCTACAGCCCTGAGACACAAAGCTATGATCCTGCCCACTCCCCACATCCCCATACACACACTGCAGCTCCCCACTACAAGCACCAAACAAAGAAAAATATAAAGCAGCTCAAGTAGCAAAACTCCTCTGCCCAGGCTAAACTGCCCTGTCCCCTTATCTTCAAACAGGAGGATTGCAAAACTGCCACTCTATCTTTTGCTCCTCTCAATGGTTAAATGCAATCCTGCATGCTTTCTTCAGTCTCAAGTTGTAAGTCATTTGCTGCTTGTTTACCAGCTGCAGCTGTGTTCCTAAGAGTCTTAAGTGATCTCTTTTATGGGCTCTCTCTATGCTATCTAAATAATAAGGCCTGTGGCCACTTTTTAAAGTTATGGAGTATTGGGCTGGAGAAATGGCTCTGTGGTTAAGAGCACTGGCTCCTCTTGCTGAGGACCCAAGTTTGAATTCTAGTACCCACATGGCTAACAACCATCTATAACCCCAGTTCCAGGGGGAAGACACTCTCTTCTGATCTCCAAGGGCATTGCACAACACAGGTGCATTTACATACATACAGGTAATACGCTCAGACTAAAGGTATGAGCTACATGCCTGGTTTCCAGAGGATCCAACACCATCTTCTGGCCTCCACAGGCTTTGTATGAGACAGATGTACTTACATTCAGGCATAACACTCTTATACATAAACTAAAAATAAATACATTTTTAAAACACACAATTTCTGTTTTACAGTGTTTTTGAGATAAAAACTAATTCCTGTAACTCAATCCTGAGTATTCATTTAAAATGTGATTGTTTTATTGACAAGAAGATATTTTGGGGATTTTAAAAACAAAATAAAGAAATAGAAAACATTCGATGGGAAAGAGCTATAGATTTAAAGTGTATTTTTGGTAAAGAAGATTAAACAACAAGGGAAATGCCTTTGGGTGAGAAAAGACTTTCTGTGGTGTGATGGTTAGTTTTGATTGTCAGTTTGACACAATCTAGAGTCACTTGGGAAGAGAGTCTCAATGAGGGATTGTCCGCATCAACTTGGTCTGGGGGGAATATATTACATTAACTGAGAGGAAAGACCTGCCCACTATGGTTGACACCATTTCCTCAATGGGAGATACTGATCTGTGTGACAGTGGAGAACAGAAACTGGACACAAGCATGCATTTGATCATTCTGTATTTTCCCCTGACTGTGAATGTGAGTAGGTTATTCAAGTTTCTATTGTCTGGACTTCCCTGCAATAGTGTGCTGTGACCAGGAATTTTAAGCTAAAACAAGCCTTTTCTCTCTTAAGTTGCTTTTTTCAGGGTATTTTATGACAGCAACAGAAACTGGATAGCTACATGTAGAAGGATCAAAATAGATCCTTATCTCTCGCCTTGCACCGAATTCAACTCCAAATGGATCAAGGGCTTCAACATAAGACCCGGTACTCTGAATCTGGAGAAAGTAGGAAATATACTAGAACTTGTAGGCACAGTAAAGGACTTTCTGAATACAATCACTCAAGCATTAAGACCAACAATTCATAAATGGGATCAATGAAACTTAAAAGTTCTGTACAGCAAAGGGCACCATCAGTCAAGTGAAGAGGAGCCTACAGAATGGGAAAAAAATCTTTGCCAGCTATACATCTGACGAAGGTTAGTATCCAGAATAGAATATACAAAAAAAAATTTTTTAAAAAGAATCTAATTAAAAATTGGAGCAAGGAACTGAAAGAGTTTTCAAAAGATTAATCACAAATGCCTGAAAATATTCATTTTTTAAAACTTACAGAGGAAAAAAAGAAAGAAAAATTCACCCAGTAAACTAACTATAGATGTGTGAGTCCCGGCACAGAAGCAAATATATATACCAAGACAAGGAGCTGGAGAGATGGCTCAGTGGTTGAGAGCACTAGTTGCTCTTGCAGAGGACCTGGATTAAATTCCCAGCACCCACATGGTGGCTAACAACCATCCTTAACTCCAGTTCCAAGGGTTCCGATGCCCTTCTCTGACCTCCACAGGCATTGCACAAGTCCAGTGCACTTACATACATGCAATCAATACAGTCATACACATAAAAATAATAAATAAACTTTTTTTAAAAAGACAATATGTCTTCTCCAAAAAGTGTCAATCCCATAGTAATGGCCTCCAATGAAAGTAACTTAGAAGCATTTCCAGAAAAAGAATTCAAAAGAACAATCACAGATATGTTCAAACAACTCAAGGAAGATATGAATATACTCCAAGAGAACAAAATGAGACAGCCAAATGAAATAAGGAAGTCAATTCAGTATGTGAAAACAGAATCAAAGAGACAAAACTGTGGAAGAAAAGCCAAAGTGACCTGATGCTGGAAAGGAAAAATTCAGTAAAGAAAAAAATAAATCCTCAGTGGAAAGCCTTACCAAGAGAACAGGTCATGTGGAAAACAGAATATCAGAGTTAGAAGCAAGGTAAAGGAAATGGGTAATTCAGGAATGGTCAATGATAAGCACATATATACACATAATAAAACAAAGTTTTATATACATAAAACAATACTCATATACATATATAAGCAGAACATAGGAGACATTTGGGACACATGAAAAGACCAAAGCTACAAATTATGGACATAGAAGAAGAGGAAATAACCATACCAAAGGCACAGAAACATTTTCAACAAAATCAGAGAAAAAAGTTTCCCAAACCTAATAAGGAGAAATATATCCAGGTACAAGAGATTTGCAGAATACCAAACAAACAAGACCATAAATTTCCCATGGCATTTTATAGCTAAAATACAAAAAAACATATAATAAAGAAAGGGTGTTGAAAGCTGAAATAGTGAAGAGGTATCCCAAAGATTGGGGAAAAAAATCTTTGCAAGCTATGCATTTGACAGATTAGTGCCTAGAATATACAAAGAAGGCAAAAAAAAAAAAAAAAAAAAAAAAAAAAAAAAAAAAAAAAAAAAAAAAACCAA